TATTGTGACATCATCAATGCCTGGCTACAATTTTTAATGATACAGTATTTTAATTTAAAAAATTGCAAGACTTTGGTTTAGATTGGAAGTTTATATATAGTAAATCTGGTCCTCTGTCCCCTAAGATTTTCATATCTGGTCTTGATTTTCATCTAACTCGCTTCATTCTCGAGATTAAGGAAGTATGATGTGATAAACTTGAAAAGTGGACAAGAGACATTTCGAAAATAATCACTTTCTACAATCTGCCATAAGACAAAAAGGAGTTTGAATTAAAGATTTTACCATTAGATTTTGGAACATGTTTGTTATACAGCATAATAAATCCCATATATTTGTATAATTGCATTTGCCAAGTGTTATTAGTTGTTTGATATGGGAAAAGTTTGTTATAAGAATTGTGAATTAGGAAATTTCCAAACAAATGAATGGATTCTTTTATAGAGCTGTTAATTAATTAATTTATAATTATTATATTTAACGAGAGTTGATCATTTGGTGACCCATCTTCTGCCAAATTACTTAGTAATTAGCCTTAATAGCCCGATAAAGAAATCTGGCTGTTTATTTGATATTTATAGGAAATTTTCTATATATAATTACAAATAAAAACCAAACCTGATATATGTTAATAAATTAGAGGAATGCTTCAAAAACAAAAAAAAATCATGTTAAAATGAAAAAGATGCTCTGTAAAATCTTAAACAGTAATAATATAAGTATAGGTATGACATTAAATGTTATATAAAAAGAATTTTTGTTTGAATATGTTTAAATGAGTCAGTTATAGACTGGAAAACTTGGGGTGAAGTGGAGAGGGAATTGTTTTTGTAGATATTTTGAAGGAAAATCATCTTTCAAGTGGATTTTAGGAGGAAGTTCACAGATGGGCTGCAAATCTAGTGTCCAAAGTTGTCTGCTCTTGCCACTTTCTTTAGAAGTTCTTCAAATAATTTTTGTTCTCAGAGTTATAAATTTCCACTTCAATTCACTCAATGTCAGGATTGTAAGATGCTCTCTCCAGAGACATCCAGAGGAGAGGCAAAAGGAACAAATTATTCTGGCCTTGAGAAAGTAGGAGTTATAGTTTACACAATAGTTTATTTTCTTTTACTTCCTTTACTTTAATATAATAATTTAATTTGCTGTAGGGCTCCCAATACGTATTTTGCCATCCTCGAGTGACCCTAGCTCTCCCAAGCGTCAAATAGAATGTTAATGTCTTTTATAAATACATCATGTGTATCCTCACAACTCTTTTCTAGCTGCTTCTCTTCTGTTAGTTCTTTTTTGTGGTCAGCAAACAAAATATTCTGCATTCTTCACATATATTTCCAGATAAGGGATTCACCAATAACATGTACAGTAACATCATCATCCTCAAAATCTTTCAAATCACAATTTGCAGTGGGCCATGAAGGCCTTTGTGTGAAATTTTCATTGTTTATGTGCTCATGTATTGATATGTCACATATCAAAATTATTTTTAACAGTTTCATTTAATGATTTCCTTTTTAATTTTTTAATTGAACAGTTGAATCGGCTGTTTTCTCTTTGCCCACAAGAAACTACCCAGGGTTTCTATCGTCTGGATCAAAGAGCGCAGGATGCTGTCATTGCATTAGGAATATATTTTTTAGAATCTGGATTTCAAGTGTGTATTTATTCATTTATTAGTATCTTTCTTATTTATTTATTTACTATTAATGCTATGTTTTATTTAATGTTTTTAGCACAAGACGTTGATAGTACCCTATTTTCTGAGGTTGTTACGTGGATTAACTAAAGCAATTTGGTTGGACGAGGTCAAGATTCACGATTCTGATCGTAAGTCCGTATTTATATTTTTAAAATCTGGTATAATTATTTTGTAAGATATCGTTTACAATTAAAAACAAACTGGATAGAAGAAAAATGAATATCTGTCTTTACTCTTGTAATATATCTATTTTACATTTAGGATTTTCAAAAAGAATACTACCATTTTAAATTATTGTAACTACGTTAAATTGTTCTCTGAGAACGTTTAATGTACATTAAAGAATTGGAAAAATGCCCAAGTTTTGCATCTACCCATTACAATTTCTCAATGTGTGCACCTGTATACTCAAATTCTTACTACACTTTATGGAATACTCATTGTCACTCCACCCATAACCACAATTCTACAGCTACAGATTACTCACGTTACACAACGATGAATGATTCCAACTTTGTGAACTGTAGAATGCAAAAGAACTCTGTTGTAGAGTTAATAACTAACATAATTACAATAATTTAAAAAGGTAATATTCATTTTAGAAGACCTTAAAAAATTTAGAATGGTATATAAATTTTTGGTTATAATGAACTACAAAGTTTAATAAATTATACGTAAAAACGACTACCTTTTGAAGCGAAAACAAAATAATTATGCATGTATTTCCAGTTATTTAACTATCTTTAAGCTTCTGAAATATAAACTAAATGAATGCTGTTGCTGCAATAAATGCTTTAATAAAGAATTTATTATAAGAAAATCCTTAGTGTCCAGTGGGTGGAAAGATTCGAGTAACGATGTGCCGAATTACATATGTACCTGAAAGTTTTCAAAATAAGAGTTTTCTTTTTATATTTATTATACAAAAAATAAAACTGAAGATAAATTGTGTGTATTATTATCTAAATCCACTTCCCGCTGGGGCCTGTATAGATTCCTTAGGTGTCAATAAGCAAATTAGATACATATTATACATGCATATGTAACAAATGAATATTATTTAATTATTTGGTAAATACAATTAAGTGGGTCTATCAGAAAAATTTTTCTTAGAAGAGCTTGATAGTTAAAGGTTGGGAATCTCTGATCTAAATTATTGTAAATTAATTAGTTGTAAAAAAAAAATCTNAATGTCAATAAATGCAGTTCTTATTAATTAATTTGATTTAGATTTAACTGCGGCGCATACCAAAAAATGGAAATAGTATCTTTTCTGCATGCACATTGATATCTAATGAGGTGGGCAATCTCAGCACCACTGACTTCAGAATCAGTAGTTCTGTCATTGATTGGTCAGGCTGTTGATTTTCTTTAACGTAGGAAGTGTAGGGGAGTTGACTGTCTGTGATCGGTTTTTGCCAAATAGCTTGTTCAGCAACCAGGGCAAATAAAAGTGAGGCATTTGAAAATTGAGGTTTGACTGTACTTAAATTTCTCTTGCTAGGAAAGGTATGTTCTTTATAAAAATCTTTGGATTAACCCAGCCACTTGCTACAAAATTGTGCTTTAAGTGATTTGTATATTCTTTTGTGTGGTTAAGAGTTAAAAATTGGGTTGTTAAGAACAGATGCCACCATATTCTACCTTTGGCTACGAACTACGATCCTCTAAGAATGAATTTGAGTCATCTTTGTATGGATCAACTCTGCTAAACATTAAAATTTTACTTTTGTACCAATTGGTGTTTTGACTAGTAAGAGTTGTTAAATAACCCAGTAAAAAGAAATCTAGGAACGAGTTGCATAACTTTCCAGGCTATTATGAGATCTTAATTAAAAAATAAATTTTATATTATTAAACATAAATAAATTTGCGTGTGGCACCATTATTTATGAGATTTTCTTATAAAAAAACTTTTTATATTTTTAGTTATTATAAAATGGCAAAAGGCTTAATTTTGAGGGTAGAGGTGGAATTTTATAAAAATATTGTGAATGTTAATATCAAGTAAAATCTTTGTTAAGTCCAATCATGCTTGAGATACGATTCACAATCCCTTCAACTTTTAACTNAATTATTGATATTTAATATATATAATAAAAAATAGTATAGTTATATAATTTTTTTAATGACGTGTTAGTTTTAAATAATAATAATATAACATTTTATTTACAGATTATTTCAGCTCAGATTGAATTATTGGGTGTTTTAGCAAATTTCTGTCAAAGTTATAAAGATTCCAAAAGTCCGAAAGGAAGTACTGCTAAAGGTATTACATGTATATATACTTAAGTTATGTACACATTGTCATATGAACCACTAAGAAGTAGATTCAAACTGACAGTTTGTCACCTTTCATTGAACTTTTGATGAACTTTGGTTTCTTTGGTCAATCAACTTTTTACAATTATATAGATTCACTTTTTGTACATTTTCAGCATTAACTTTACACACTGAACTAATGTTTTTGGCCCTATTTACAGGCCTGCCTTGGGTTAGAAGCGTCCAAAGATGAAGGAGTTATGTTGCATTCTAAAGTAGAATAATTCAGAGTCTATGACAAATTATTCCATTTTAAAATGTAACATAACTCCATCTTTGGACGACTTCTAACCTGAGTCAGGCCTGTAAATCGGGCCAAAATGTTCATTCGGTGTGTAAAGTTAATGCTGGAAATGTACAAAAAGTGAGTTTGTATAATTTAACCAAAAAATTTTCCAACTTTTAAAAGACAGTTTAACTTTTTACACCTTGAATTCAAATCTTTTTAACCAATTGTGTTTTAACCCAGTTTGTGTCATATAGTATAATGTGAGCAACATTTTGGTTTGGTTAGTGTTCATATTAGTTCATATGACAGTGTAAACTTACCTTTATATGTGTTTAAAAAAGATATATTCTTAATAAATCAATAAATTTCTGCTCCACTAAAAATATAATACTGATTCAATTTCAGTTACTTTTTGTAAAGCAACACTCCCAATTTTTATTGGAACTGCAAGAGCTATTGGTCGTGCAAGTAAATCTGGTCCGTTGCTATGTTCACTGTTCCCATTGACGTCTGTTTCCCAAATTAACGGCGAAAGCATAGAAAATAAAACTGGAACTCCTTCATCAAATAAAGTTTCAAAGTTTCGTACTTTTAACAGTTTCCGACCTATTATACCTCGAACACTGTCGGGATTGTCTAGAAATATTTCATCTTCGGGAATCATTAGTCACGATTCTGGTGCTGATTTGTTATCATTAGCCGGTTCCGTTGAGCATTCGAATAAAAGAGCCTCGTTATATAGTCAAACATCCGTAACTCAAGATTCTTCTTCGTATTTTTATAAATTTGGATCCAGTTTTGGAAAGATCTTGGCATTGGATTCGTTGTCTATCGAAGATAATCCATTAATGTTTTCTATTGTCCATCTACAGACAGTACTTGCTATAGTAAGACCAAAATTTAAAATTTAGATTTAATAAATTAAAGATGATAAAAGAAATTTGACAGTTTTTTTGTTTGTTTATTGTTAATTTTTGAAAATATTTTTCAGGCTAAAAAATTGCTTACAAAAGAATTCCTTCATTTTGTTGATGATCAAGCAGGAGAAGTTTATATGGTACATATTCACTCTTATTTAATTTTAATTTTAAAATAAAATTTAAATTAATTTAAAAGTATATTGATTAATATTATTTCTAGACTGGTCAAATTAAAATTTTTCCATATAAAACATTTAGTGAAACACTCAACTTAGTTATTGTTACATTGCTTAGAGAACTTCTTCAAAGACAAAAAGGTAATTAAACTTTTTAAGTTTTTCACTTTGACTTGTAATTATTTCTCAAATTATAATTATAATCTTTGAGAAACATTGTAACACTATTATTAATTTTTTTAGATTTGCCACCACCTTTTATGAGAGATGTTCAGGAATTTGTTAAAGGTCTTTTCTTATCGGGACAAACAGAACTGCAAACAAAACATCACGATGCTAGCGAGAGAGAAGATAGAGAATCTAATTTCGCTACTGTTAATAAATTTAAAGTAAATGTACAAACTAACGCTGCTTGCGTTGATCTTTTAGTTTGGGCGGTGTCAGACGAAATGGGTAAATTTGAGATTTTAATTAGCAGATAAATTATATAATTTATTTTTGACTGACAATTATTTTTTTTCCTGTAGGAACTGATAATTTATGTTGTCGATTAACTGAAAAAATTAATTCTTCTCACGCATATAAATTAGCATTGGCTCATATGCCTCTCTTAATAGTTTGCTTAGAAGTAAGTAAAAATATTCAGGTATATTATTAATGTTTTTTCGCATATATAAGTTTTATGACTGCATTATTCTCACAGTCGCTCTGTTAATTGAATTTTAGATATGAAATTAAATATAATATTTACATATGTCTGGATATGTAAGCTGTAACACTTTACTGATTCTGATCCCCAAAGCTTTTTGAATGAAATGTTTGGAAAAAGGGTTCTATTGTATTTCATTTCCAATGTTTTTACATTGTCAATTTATAGCATCTCACTTCCTCAAACTTAAATTCATGGAATTAAATCTGTGAATTGCCATTCATCCTTTAAAATTTCCCATAGAAAGTCAGCTTTAGTGTCAGTAAATTAGGGCCAGAGAAGTGTTACAGCTTGTAAATCTAGAAATGTGTACACATGCTATATTTAATTTTGTGTTTATAATTTGATTAACTGTACAACAATGAGAACAACATATTGTATCTTATTTGTCATAAACCTGCATGTCAGAAAAAACTAATGACATTTCTTCATGTTTGATATAAAATGTAAACTTGGATTTGTAGCAGTTGCCACATAACCTGTGATTGAAATAATTTATTTATACATATAATACACAGAATAATCTTTATTTAGAAAAGCTATATAAATAAGTTTTTTGTTAATCTTCCAATTCATTGTATATTAATTCAAATGACAGTCTTATAGAAAGTAGAATGAGTGTATTGAATTTGCACTTTGTTAGAAGATATTTTATAGTTGATTTTGTTTATAGGGATTAGGGAGATTAGCTGAAAAATTTCCAAGTCTTTCAAGTTACAGCATAACGGCATTGAGGGATTTTCTTTTAAATCCTTCTCCAATTTTATTAAAGTTACACAAACAACCATCTGATCATTCTGGGCGCAGTGGTGCTTTGAGTATTATGGTCACAGAAAACTCAAATTTTTCTCTCAGTCCTGGAACAGTATCGAGTTCATTAACTGCATTTGAATCTCTGAGAGATACCGCAATAGAAAATTTATGCAGGTATGTCAAGGAAAAATATAGAGATGAATAAATTTTTAAATTAAATTAAAAGTTGTTTATTACAGTAACGATTATAAAATTGTATTGTACAGGGCATTGAAAGCTGGTTTAAAGACCGACTCTCATTGCGTTCAGGCATTTTTAGCATCTGTATCAAATCGTTTATATCAGGCAGAAAAAAGTGATATGTAAGTATTAAATTCTTACTGTTTAATAAGATATATTTTATTGTAGTTTGTGTAAAACTGTTGAAAATTATCTTTGTTTTCAGACTGTAAAGTGGATTACTGATTGAATTATATTATTTTTATAAAATTTAACTTTTATCTGTATAAAATAAATAGCAAGTTTAGAAAATTTTCTCAATAATTTGTAAAAAAAATACTGTACACTTCTTAATTGTATACAGTTTTCTGTCATCAGCTGAAACTTACAAATGTTAAGTTACACCTTCAACACAAATTCCAGCAGAAATTGTTTAATACAAATGAATGAAACTAATGTTTTCAGCTATATTAAGTGGCCTGCTTCAGGTTTTGACATTCAGAAATAGAATGTTTGAATAGAATACTATAACTTAACGTCTACTTTGTTTTATGATATATGTTATTTTTACAATTGTTATTTAGTATTTTAGTGTATATTTTAATGGATTTTGTTGATTGTTTATTGTGTTGAAGGCAGCAAATATTGTTCTTAAGGTATTTCCTATATTTCAAATAAACACATTTTTATTGTAAACAAGAAATAAAATTTATTTTTAATACATTACATAGGGAATCAACACTTGTAACAACCAATACAATTGTTGCATTGGGACATGTTGCAGTTTCTTTAAAAGACACACCCAGGACAATGGAATTTATTCTTCAAGTGTTTCAGCAACGTTTTTGCCATCCTCCCTCTACTTTTGATTCTCTTATTGTTGATCAGTTAGGCTGTATGATTATTGCAAAGGGTGATGTAAGTATACCTTGTCGACATAATTAGTTAAAAATATAAAATCGAATTGTTTTTTTTTTTAAATATAAATTACTCTTTAAAGTCTCACGTTTATGAAGAAGTGATGAAGATGTTTACTATGATAACTGTTGAATCAAGTTCTGCTTATAATGTTGGAAGTGTAGATGATAGGAAACAAGGATACAGGTATGTTTATTATTATAATTATTTAGCCAATTGTTAATTTTTAATGAACAATTGATAAACTGTATTGTAGACATGTTTCTCTTGCTGTGATTAATGCATTGGCCAACGTAGCAGCTAATTTAGAGGGAGAAGCTGAACAACAGGAACTATTAGTCAGACTTTTGGAATTATTTGTACAATTAGGATTGGAAGGAAAACGAGCAAGTGAAAGAGTTCCTGCAGCATTTAAAGTTAGTAATATTTCTGATACTTGTCTAGTATATCTTCAATATTAATTTTGTTGTTTCACTTAATTTATTAATTCTTAAATCTAGCAATTATTCTATAACATTAGCTATATTGCTACAGATCACATGCAAGCCTAAAAATTGTGAGTCACATTGTCTTGTTAGGTTTGTAATTGTGAGACAACTTAAGTAATCCACAAGTCACATCAATTAGTTTCAAAAAATCCATTTATTGTGTACTTTATACAACATTACAAGTTGAAATATTGGGTTGAAGAATAATTCATGAGTTTTTTTTTCAAATTTATTTTATACAAAAAAATCTACAACAAAGTAATCAATAATATACTTGCTGTTGTTGTTTACGACTTCCTCCCATTGTTTTTGATGCCACGGCAATAGAAATCTCCTGGTCTAGATTCAAAGAATTCATCCAATCAAGCCTTCAATTCCAGGTCATTATTGAATGATATGCTGCACAAAGTGATTGAAAGAGATAAAAATATGATGGTGCAACGTCTGGAGAGTATGGAGGATGAGGCAGAACTTTCCATTTGAGTTCTTGAATTGAGGTTTTGGTCATATTGGTAGTGTAAAGATGGGTGTTGTCATGTTGCAGAACGTTATTTCGCTTATTTGGTCTTTTTTATTGAATTGCTTCATTGAGTCAGTGTGATTGAACATAGAGTTCCACATTGAATGTTTGGTTGTGCTCAAGCAATTTGTAATGAATTATGTCTTCCCAATCCCACCATATACACAGCATGGTCTTTTGAGGATGAAGGTTTGTTTTGTAAACAGAGTTGCTTGTGTTTCTGGGCTGAGCCATTCTTTTTCCTGCTTCATATTGATGTAAATGCACCATTTTTCATCACCAGTGACAGTGCAGTAAAGAAAATGCTGTTTGTGACCATGTGTTTAGTGACATTGAGCAAGCAAACTAACAGCAATTACAGAGCGTTGATTTTTGTTGTTTTCACTCAATGTGTGTAGCACCCAAATGCCAAGTTTCTAAACCTTGCCAATTGAGTTTTTTTATTACATTCCAACTATCCTACCAATTCTCTGGTTGTTTGATATGGATTTTTGTGAAGAAGTTGATTCAATTGCTCTTCATCAAACTCATTCGGGCAACTGGTGTGTGATTCATACTTGAGGTCAAAATTTTCATTTTTTTGAAGCTTGAAAACCAATGACGGTGGTACTTTGAGGCATTGCTCCTTCTCTATATACAGCAGAAATCTCACAAGCAGCTTTGGTGGCCGTAACACCTCGATTAGATGCAAAAAGCAAATGGAGTTGACAATACTTGGATTTGTCCAATTGTCATTCCATTTTAATGATCTGAAAATACATCAAAATTAATAAAATTAAAAAATCAAAACACATTGTCTTGTAGAGCAAAAACTTCTCTTTTAAATAACAAAATATTTTGCCAATGCATTTTATAATATTTCTGCATGAATTTTTAAATTTGAAAAAAAAATGCTCTTGAATTATTCCTCAACTCGATATATTGCAGATATTACAACTGTTAAGAAATACAGCACTGGTACATACTTATAAATAGGACTCAGGGCAGCCAGACTTCATAGGACTTCATTGTCTCATGCCCAAAAATGTTTTCTTTCATGCCCATTTTGCATTAAATTTTGGAAAATTTTTGGCTAAATTTTCATATTTATATGTTAATTTTTACAATTTTAGCCATTCTGTCAATATCTGTCAATGAGGTTATGACTTTGCAGAGCCAATTTAGTAAGCCTATATTCGTCTAAGTTCCACACGCCTCAACCTTTATCCAATGGCAGGCAGCCCAACTTTGGTTAGATTGTTGGCCAGAAGTGGGTATACATGGCTTTATTATGATGATGGTATGCATTTCAGACAGGCTGTCTGTCCGAAATGCATACTGTCGTCATAATAAACCTGTCTTTCCACTTTTGCATGATTACTCTGACATCAATAGTGTATGATAAGCCTTCCATAGAGCCAAAAACTTAGTGCTCATAGATTCATATTCTTTAATCAGTTAAATTAACTTTTATTGGGTTTATTTTTTTAAATTTTAGGCATCCAGTAGTGCTGGAAACCTTGGGGTTTTAATTCCAGTAATTGCTGTTGTAAGTAAAATATTTTAGTGTTTAGTATTAATGCTTATAAATATTTAACTGTTGAATAAATAAACTTTTCTCTAGTTAATCAGAAGACTTCCTCCAATCACTAATCCCAAGCCAAGATTATTAAAATTGTTTCGGGATTTTTGGTTGTATTGCGTCGTTATGGGATTCACAACTGGATCTGGTAATTTTTCTTAACATTTAGAAAAATTAATTATTTTCAAAATTTTGTTAAACTTTATGACACTTTCAATATTAAAATATATTATTAATTTTTACAAAGGTCTATGGCCTCAGGAATGGTACGAAGGAGTTAAAGAAATAGCATCGAAATCTCCTCTCCTTGTATCAAAAGAGCATTTGAGGTCAGAACTACAATATAATTCTGCAATAAGGAATGAAACAGTTTCAGTTGTAAGTATTTTTACTTGTTTTAGAAAGATTTTATTATATTATTATAATAAATATGTTTATATAAAATTTTTATATTATCTTGTCTTGCTTTACAACATTGTATAAGTGTGCTAATTTTTGTTTTATAGTATGCTACAATTAATTAAAATAACTTACATGTTTCAATTAGAAAGACAGACTGTATATTTCACAATATAAAGCGTAGAAGAAAATAAATCATCTTCACACATCTGTCCTGTCCAATTGCCAGGAACAAAACCATGTTTGCTTTGCAGAGATGACCTTTTATTAGAGGTTATGCCTCTGAAAAATGATGTAAAACAATTAAAAAGTCCACTGATGATATATTTTTACAGGTTTTTGGCTTATAATCAGTGAACTTTTTTTAGTCTTTACTAGAACTTTTAACTTTAATCTCTAGTAAAAGGCTGTCGAACTGTTTTATTTCTGGTGATTGGACATGACGGAAGTGTGAAGATGACTGTCCTGGTCATTCCTCCACAAGTGTGATGCTGGAAAACATTGATAAAGTGAGGGCTGATGGATCATTGAAGAGCTGTGATATTCTGGGATTGTCCTTTAATACATGTAAGTGCATTCTATCTGTGGAACTGGGCATGAGGAAGATTACTGCTCTTATTATTAAGTTCATGCCAAATTGCTGTCAGAGGAGCAGTTTTTGCGAACATATGTCAGGAGTTTAAAGAGCTGGCCACAGCTCTTTAAACTCCTGACATATGACAAGCAGCTCACAGAGAGTTAGGTTTACAGATATCATCCTGAAACCAAACAGTAATCATCTAAATGGAAGTATCCACAATTCTTTGCACTCCAAAAATGCTTGTCAGGTGAAAATCCAATATCAAGTCGATGTTGATCTGTTTCTTTGTCCCAGACAGAATTGTTCATAAGGAATTTGACCCATATAGTCAGTCTGTGAACATGACATTCTACTGTGATGTCCTAAGGCAACTAAGGGAACATATGCAGAGAAAATGGCAGGAGAGAAACTGTTTTCTCTATCACAACAACTTACCAGCCCATATATGCTTGACTGTGTGAATTTCTTGGCATTCAGCTACATATGCTTATGATGATACCTTATTCTCCAGATTTAGTTTCCTGCGACTCCTTCCTATTCTACAAACTTAAATGTAAGCTGAAAGGGAGAAGATTTGCAGCAATAAATGAGAATCAGGAAGAATCACATGTAGTATTGAACTGTTGTGAATGATGACTTTTATAAGTTTTATTTATGGGAAGCACATTGGGATAGGTGTTTACTTTCCTATGGGGACTACTTTGAAGAAGATAAAGGACAATAGTGTGTATGATAACTTGTTTTTTGCTGATTAACATTGCCAATTTTTGGGTCGTACCCTCATGGTACTTATATTATGGTATTAATATTAATTATAACCATTGCAGTTTGTTAATACAAATATCTAATTTTGTATCGTAAATCTGATTAAATTATTGGTTACCATAATGAATTATTCGTGTATTTTAGAGTGAAATACAAGAATTAAGAAATCAAATATTAAATTCTTTGGATCATCCTCAAGAGGTTACTCCATTGATAAATAAACTTAATTTTGCCCAGTGTACTTATCTTTTATCTGTGTTTCGGTTGGAAATTATGAGGTAAAAATATAATATAATCTTACAAAATATATATTCATACATTCTTAGAACAGCTCTAAATAATTTTCGTTTTGTATTAGAGTACAAAATGTACATGGTCAGACTCCATTCCACTGTATGCTTCAGTATTTGGAAGATCCGTCCATTCAGAAAGATAAAGCTGGAATGTGGCAGTGCATTATTTCTGTTGCCGATAAAGTATTTTTAACTTATTTAGATGTCATGACAATGAAGGTAAAAATTTTTAAATAAAATAACTTTCTATTTTTACTTTTAATGAGTGTGCAATGATTTTAATTTAATTTTCCACATTGATTTAAGCTTTTATTTGGTACAAATTCAGCTCTGAAAGGCTTATTAGAACTTTAGACTGTGTCCATAGGAGTAAAAAGTTTAAAGGAATTGATGGTCTAAATGTAATCCTTTGCGAGGTGTAGTTTATAGTATATACATATACTTAGGAAGTAGTCATTGCAATGACATTTTTGTGTTTTTTGATCTTTTAGTAGTCTCTAGTAAAGCAGAAAATAGTTGGTTTTTAGCATTGTTTTGAGAGCGTTCCAGATTTTTTTTGCTTTTAAATTTTATCCTATTTTGAGGGTCCTCGAAATCAGGAAGTCCTTACCCTGTACACACATCTCATTATTGAAGAGGAAGCAAGAAGAGTAGCAGATCAAATGAACCAATTCTAAAATATGCTTGTGATGTTTATGTGGTTTCTTTGTTAAGGAATAAAACATCCCTCAGCTTGCAGAAGCATGGAGGTAATTTGATGGATCTTTAAAATTCCAGATTCAGAGGAAGTTATTTCTCTTGAAATGGTCATATATCCTTTAAGAGAAATAACTTCCTCTGTAGACCATTGGTTTCTTTGACTGTTTACTTCTATAAGCATGTTCTACAGCTCTGATAAGCCTCATTCATAATTGCAATTTTACTTTTAATTTTTTCATAAAAGTTAGTTGTAATTGGTTTTTCATAATGGAGTCAGCTGTAGTGTATGAAGACATTAGGAATAGTTTTTAAATAGTTAATTTATGATACTAGTAACATATTTTTTGTGTTATTTTTTTAGCAACGTAATAGAGAAAGAGATGAAGAATTAGAACAACATGCTACTTTTTTGTTGATAAAATTCAATCATCCACAAAAACAAATCAGACGTGTTGCTGATAAATATTTAGCAGGACTCGTTGACAGGTAAGATGTTTTATTTTATAAAAAAATTAAACATTTGACGATTAAAAACAATATATATTTATATATATATATTATTTTTAATTTGAATTTCAGATTTCCTCATTTATTATGGAGTGGAACTGTATTATGGACAATGCTTAATGTTTTACAAGTTTTATCACAATCATTACATTTGGTGTGTATCATAATATTTTAAAGTTAAATTACTTATTGGATTTTATTTATACAAAAACATGATATTGTAGGATCCGAATGAAGAATATCCAGAATTAACCATTCCAAATACTTCGTATACTTTAATACTTACAGATACAATGGAAGCGAGGGAAGTGAGTATGATATAACTTTGAAAGGCTTTGTAAATTAAGGCCATGTGTGTTATTTATTGTAAAGAAACTAGACAAAAATCTTTAAGAGACTGATTGAATGTTTTTAGCATATTGTGAAAGACTTTGCCGACAGATGTCGAGGCATCGTTCAAGAAGCTTTGAAATGGGCACCGAACGTTACTCGATCTCATTTAAAGGTAACAAAAATTGTAATTTTTAATAATGTTTTAAAAAAGATTTTATATTAAAAAAATAAAATACAATTCTAGGAATATTTAGCAAATGAACAACATGCAACAGACGGATTACGACAACATAGTGGGTTAGCTTTGGCGGTCGAGACAATTTTACAATTTGCCGGATTTAATCATCTTTCATCTCCTTTACCCGTAAGATTCTCTACAGTAGTTGTATACTTGTTTAACTACTACATTAATATATAACAAACTGTATATATTTAATTTATATTATTTATTAGGTTTCTACTCTCGACAAATGGCCCGGTTGTGTAAAAAATAATTGTTCAGAATTTATAGCAGCAATGGGATTACGTTGTAAATATTCTGGAGAGGCGAGTATATTATTTAAAGTGTTAATGTCATAAATTATTAATTATGAAGTAATTACTTCATAATTTTCATCCATCCACGTCTACATCTCAAGATAGTTTTTATATTTTTTTGTATAACTGTAGTTAACATAAACTTATTTTTAAAATTCTAACTTATGTACACGTACAAACTTTAAGTTTTATTTATTTATTTGATATTATTGTTAAGAAGTTGATGGAAAAAAAAGCATAGTATATGTAAAAAAAATTCATATTCTTTTATACTTTACTAAATTAGGAGTATTATTTAATTTTATTTTAATATTATTCAGTTTTTCAGCATAAAATTCTGTTAAAATTTTATTTTAACAAAACAGTAAACTGTTAATTAGCTATGATGATTATTTACAGAATCATAACATTTTATACATATACTGTAGTTACTAATTAAAATAAATATTAATTGACAGATGCTTACATTTTTCCCTCCCCTTTCTACTGAGATGGCCTTTTTAATCCTATACATTACAGATTTGGCCAAACCTACAGTGAGGTGGCCGGATGGTGAGGTATGGGATCCGGCATATCTGGAACAGACTGCCCACGAATTCCTAGGAAGTTGCTTTCCAGATTCGACACCGGATCCCCTATAGGACAGTTGGCCGATGCCTTAATTGCCTCGGCCATCTGCATTGTTTCATTTATGAATTTTATATTTCTTGTTAAGAGTCTGTAAAGTTATTCTAAAGCAAATTTGAAATATTTAATTTTATCAATCAAAAATTGAAATTTTTAAAGAAAGTTTCCAAATTAAAAATTATCATAATATTTTGGAATAATATAAATAAAATCATTCTTTTAGGTTTCTGGACTTCTGGCAAAATCTGAAGAATCTGGTCTATCAAATAAAGATGTAGCCAAAAAGTTGTTAAATGAATTGAAAGAAAGTTGGAAAATGACAGGTAAGTATATTTTTTTAATATTTTATAATAATATATATATATTCATACAAATTTCAGATAATTACATTTATTTTAGATCCAGGAATTCATAAAGAATGTATATTTAGAGTTTGCGCACTTTTAATTGCAACAAAAGGTAAATGTATAAAATAATTATTATGAAGTTATTTATAACTTTTTTACTTTAAATTACATCCAAGTCGAATGACATTAAATAGCTTCAATATAAAAAGAAATGAATAATACGGCATTTTATGTTAATTTAGATTATATACATAAAACAACATCTACAAACTCGATGTACAGTACATATGTAATAAGCCAACAACTATTGGATTATATAATAATAGCTCGATATAATCTGGTAATTGTTGACTTATAATTTAGATCATAGTTTTTAATTAATAAGATGACTGATGTCTGGACAGTAGAAGTATCAGTCTGACACTCTGAGAAACTTATGTTGAGTCTGGATTGGGATCATTTGAACCAATTATGCATGTATGTATTAGTCACAGCCACAACTGATGTGAATGGTGCCTGCGAATGGTTTAATAAACTTTTACTGGAACATCTGTCAACTCAACAAGATGAGGAAACAGCATTATATTGGCATTTTTAGACTTATTTTATCAAAATAACTTTAGGTTAATACAGACAAGTAGTAAAAATGGTGTTGATAATATGATCGTGGATAGCTATATTGCTTTATCAGAGCTCGCCATATTCAGGACTTGAAGAGTGTGACGTATATCAGTTGCTACACTGATGAATATGAGACCGTGAATATTGGAACACAGTTTAGTACATTGCTATTTACTGATGAACTGTTTGATGTATACTGGAATGTATCTATTCTTTACTCTGTACTCTACTTATTTTTTCTATCACTGCTGCTGCTCCAATTATTGACCTGCTGAATCTATGTTGTGCATTCAAGGAAGACCCTTACGGCCGATTGCAGAGACAGAATTTACATTAAACGACGTTTATCAACGAACGGCCTATAACCGTTGGCTGGCTGAACCGCAGTTTAAAATGCATTGCAAAGACGACGATCGTCTATTTCTGGCCGTTCTCTAAACGAACTTCGGCAAAACATTGGCTCTTACTTACTTCGCTATTACTCCTCTGTTTTAGGAGTCGTTCGGCCAATCGGGTTATTTCTTCGTGACGTCAGAAATGGTCGTCAGCTATAATCCGAAAGCTTAAGGCCGTCAAAATCATTGTTCGGCAATTAATGACAATCCTTTTCCATTTCGATATTTAATTTTGTTGCCAATACGGTTTAAAATATGAACAAATCCATATTTAGAAAATTTATACCGAATTCGAAATTCGTCTTCGGAATAGATTTTTAAGGAATTATTTCGACATCTTATTACTGTCGAAATGAATAATTTTAAATATTTTATTATTAATATTGCATTTTTTTTAATATCTATAAACAGATTTCTGTAATTATTAAAATTGTCTCTTTTGTTTAACAGTACAATGACTCGGAAATGCATTAACGTTTTATAACCGACACGATACTCGAATTGTAAATAAATGCATCTGATTTAAATTAAATTGAAGTTTTAAGTCTTCACCCATTTGAATGTCGAAATTGGAACATTTAAAACAAATTTAAAGTATTTAATTTTGTTGTTTTTGCGCCGAGCAATTAATTAATGAATAATTTTGTCGATTCGTACCGTTTACAACATTTATCGAAGAAACGATATCTGTTTTTATCTAAACTTTTCCACGAACAAAGCTACCACTCGAATTGAAAAGCCCTCTAAACCCGCTGTCCAGTGAGTCTAGAAAGTAGGTCAAATAACTTGTTTCTAATCGCTGTCTACATTGTGGCAGGCGAGAAACGCCGTCTCTGCAATGAAATTTTTCTGAACAGCGGTCTACCCGATCTGTAAACTGCCATCGGCCTGTAAACTTTGTCTCTGCAATCGGCCCTCAGTGCCCACAGTTAGAAAGAATTTAATAAATAATAATAATTATATTCAAAAGCAAAAATGTTAGTATTAATTCTATAATCGTTATTAAGTTAATAATTTGACTATTTTTTCTCTTTCTTTTAACTAATAGATTTACACAGTAGAACCCCAATTATTCAAATCCCGATTAATTGGGATTCTGCATTATCTGAGGCTAACTTGTAAGTGAGTATATTACATTTCTTAGTCTGTAATTCATAAAAGAAACTTCAAAATTATAACATAAACAAATTATTTCATAATATGTATTATTTTTTTTTATCATTTAACTTCAATTTGAAACAAACCATTCATATTAAAATGTAAATACAATAACACACATTTTTATTCTTTAAAATTAATTTATGTAATTAGCTGTGTAATAAATGATGTAAAAACTGTTGTTGTTATATATGATTAAATTCAGTAAGTTGTGTAAAGAGGCTTAAAAATGATACGTATAAATCTTTAACATTTGTAAGTTTTAATCTGAAATTATCTTAGCTGTTTGTTTTATCTGATCAATTCACATTACCTTAAATAATCAGGGGTTATACTATAAAGTCAAACCTTGGCTTCCAAACTTAATTTGTTCCTAAAAGTTGTTCGAAAACTGATTGATTCTTAAGCTGAAACAAATTTTTCATAAGAAACAATAAAAGATGGGTTAATCTATTCTCAATTCCCCCAAAAACCCCTTTTTTAAAAATCTTTTTAGCAGTATTTCATTCATAAAAGTGTGTGTAAATGCAATATAATATATTATTATTATATATAACATGTATATCTGTTCTATATTTTATATATATAAAATAAATATAAAAACATGAATTCTTGGATGCCATTTATATTACATGAATGTCAATAAATGCAGTTCTTATTAATTAATTTGATTTAGATTTAACTGCGGCGCATACCAAAAAATGGAAATAGTATCTTTTCTGCATGCACATTGATATCTAATGAGGTGGGCAATCTCAGCACCACTGACTTCAGAATCAGTAGTTCTGTCATTGATTGGTCAGGCTGTTGATTTTCTTTAACGTAGGAAGTGTAGGGGAGTTGACTGTCTGTGATCGGTTTTTGCCAAATAGCTTGTTCAGCAACCAGGGCAAATAAAAGTGAGGCATTTGAAAATTGAGGTTTGACTGTACTTAAATTTCTCTTGCTAGGAAAGGTATGTTCTTTATAAAAATCTTTGGATTAACCCAGCCACTTGCTACAAAATTGTGCTTTAAGTGATTTGTATATTCTTTTGTGTGGTTAAGAGTTAAAAATTGGGTTGTTAAGAACAGATGCCACCATATTCTACCTTTGGCTACGAACTACGATCCTCTAAGAATGAATTTGAGTCATCTTTGTATGGATCAACTCTGCTAAACATTAAAATTTTACTTTTGTACCAATTGGTGTTTTGACTAGTAAGAGTTGTTAAATAACCCAGTAAAAAGAAATCTAGGAACGAGTTGCATAACTTTCCAGGCTATTATGAGATCTTAATTAAAAAATAAATTTTATATTATTAAACAAATAAATTTGTGTGTGGCATCATTATTTATGAGATTTTATAAAAACTTTTTATATTTTTAGTTATTATAAAATGGCAAAAGGCTTAATTTTGAGGGTAGAGGTGAATTTTATAAAAATATTGTGAATGTTAATATCAAGTAAAATCTTTGTTAAGTCCAATCATGCTTGAGATACGATTCACAATCCCTTCAACTTTTAACTACTGAAATTTGATAGCATCGATCTCCCTAATACACAAATCTCCCTGCAAAATTTCAAAAATTTTTGACAAAAGTAATGGAAATTATTAAGTTTCAAATTGGGTGAACACAATTGTGCCCACTACGCATGCACACATCCATGCATTCAGAAAGAAACCTTGAAATGTTTTTTGCATTTCTCGATGTTTCAAGGTCCTGAGTCCAAAAATGTAAAAATATTCCCATATTTCTGTTACACATAACATATTGGGAAAGTAAAATGCATGTTTTGCCAAGATGGCAAAATGTCTACATGTGATAAACGTTCAGATGCAAGCCAAACTATATACAATTCCACGAAGAGTACGGCACAAATATAGCACAGGAGGTGGAGCAATGACATTTGTGCAAGTTCTTTATTGCTTATTTTTTCATTCCATTGAAGTTGTGGATCCTATTAAGCATTTTTCTACATGATGCATATACTGTACTTTTTTACACAATTCCTTTTTACGTGGCATTCTTCGGAACATATCACCACGGAAAAAGAGGGATAAGTGTATTCTGCAAAGCAAAAGTGACATGCTAAGCTGTCACTTACAAATAGGAATCACTTTTGAATAATTTTTTAATGAATAATTATGAATAACATGTTTGATCACAATGCTTAAATAGTATTTTGCACAGTCTGTCATGTCAAAATTTTTATGCTTTAGTCGACCGAAAAAGATCAAAGTGAAAAAATGTCACTCCAGAAAATTTTCCAGATTTTCTTCCAGTTTATAAGATATTCCCAATCCAGAAACCGTGAGTGGCATTGCAAGAAAACTGTCTTCTGTTCTCTGCATCGCTTCCCGCTTTTCTGTTTGAATTTTCCCATGTAATGTTGCAACATTGCTAGATGTATGGTGCGTGGGAGCTCGACATTCTGCCGTTTTTTCCAACGCATGCTTTGTAATTCAATTTTATGCCAAATGTCAAAATAAGCAGATTAGGGTTTTTATTGCCACTTTAATAAAAATATCGCCAAGTGGCAACTTTGGCACTAAATAACCCAAATTCCAGGAAAATATATTAGTGTTTTGAAGAAATACTGATAATTTTTTATTTATTTCACGGAAGAAGTTTACTTGGGAGACATCTCCCTCTTGGCAAATTGCCCAAGTGTCCTTCTCCCATAATCCAAAGATTATTCTGTACAATTTTATCATTTAAGAGCTAATAACTTATAGGATATTTGTAGTAAGTAATAAAATAGTAATGCGATGTAATAATTACGTTGCTTTATACTTGGCTGTTTCATTATAATATAGTTAAATTTTGAAAAATTTGCGATTAGAAAGCCTTATATTTGAATAAATGTTGTTACTTACAGGAGTAGATCGTTCGTTATTACATGCTTTATGCTGGTCTCCAATAGAAATGTTCTCTGAAGAAGGAATGAGAAACACGGTTGCATGCTGGCAGTGGTTATTGGCTGCTAGATCAGATCTTGAATTGCAAGTAAGTGATTATTATGTAGTTTATTAAGTTTAAAAAAAAAAAAGTTTCAAATATTTTATTTTCCTAAAGTTTCTGCAAGAAATGTCTGCAGCTTGGTATATGACAATTGATAAACAAATGGGTTTATTTAGTGAAGATCCAGAATTAAAAGACCCTTGTGCTGTATCTGGTTCTTATTCACCTTCTAATCCTCCTTTCATAGCATCTCATGCAATTTGGGTTAAGGTAAAACAGTGTTTTGAACATTTTATGTTATGTTATGTTATATATAATAGTAACAGTAATAATTATAAAATTTTCTAGTTTTTAGCAGAAAGAATAGAAATAGCAAAGTACTATAGCTTAGATCAAGTGGAGATATTTGCAAACATGCTTCATCGTTCCTTATCCGTTAGTGTTGGAAAAGCTAGTTGTAATCATCGACACATTATTTCTATGGGGACTAGATTCAGGTAAAGGAATAAATTGGCATAAAACTTTTAAAAAAGATAAAAATAAATTTACATTAACATTGCTTTTAGATTACTAACCTGTGGACTTTCACTGTTACAAGGAGATATTTTGCCACGTTCAATTGCTAAAAGTGTTTTGAGAGAACGAATTTATTCTGCAGCACTCGACTATTTTTGGTACGGATAAAGCTAATAATTAGATATCTAATGAGGCAGTAATAATTTAATAACTACATAATAATAATTGTATTTATTCTAGTGGGCCAGTCATGTGTCCGTTACAGAAAGGAGCCGAATTGCGTGAAGATATACTTACATTAATAAAGTTTTGGCACTGTCTTTTTACAGATAAAAAGTATCTTAAAGCTAATCTTTTAGCCGGTAATGAGCTTTTTGTAAATAATTAAATTATTAACGAGATATATTCTAATAGAAATGAGTTTTAGCAGATTTATGGGAGAGTAATACACACAATGTGATTACACTGAACATGAATTCAGAATTACGTGGAAGCTCGGATCTTTCTCAAGCTCGTACGACTCCCTCCGGATGGATCAATACAGTACCCCTTAGCAGTAATCTATCCACAATCTCTAGACGCTCGTCAGGTGGTCGAGGTTCTGGAAGAAGAGATAACAACACAGAATTTTTTGTTAAAGATTATGTTAAGAAACGCAATTTGATCTTAGGATTGCTAGTATGTTCTCTCCATTTTAACTGTAAAAACTGTAGTAATGAATTTTTATCATCAATTAATGGGAGATTCTTTTTTAAGGCTGTCGAAATTGAGTTTTTGATTACTTGGTATAATCCTATTGGACTGACGGAGCTGCATGTACCCGAAGAAGATGTTATTGCATCATGGAGAAGTCAGCCAACAACGGATCGTGTCTCAAGAGAAATAGCTCGTTTGGCTTGGGATATATCTCCAACCTTGGCTATCTATTTACCTCGAAGGTGCTCCTCCATATTTATCTATGGCAGCTAATATTAAGAGCTGCATTAATTTCTTAAAATATTTCAGATACAACAATAGTGAAGCATTGAAGTTGGAAATCACCAGACTAGTCCGATTGAATCCAGGAGCAGTATCACATCTTCCAGAAGCTTTGCAATATTTAACATTACCTGATAGTGTTGTAAACGATTCCTCCGAGGTAAATTTTTTTTTATAATTTAAGCATTAATAATTGTAAATATTTAAACTTTCTTTATTTTTAAAATAGTTGACTCATATGTTAATTTGGTCAAGGATATCTCCAGTTCAAGCTTTGGCATTTTTCTCTCGTCAGTATCCACCTCATCCTATCACTGCACAGTATGCAGTTAGAGTTTTGGCGTCTTATTCTCCAGTAAGCGTAAAACTTGTTAAAATAATAATAAAATTTCAACAAAACAAATTAACAATAACTTTTTATTAATAGGACATTATTCTGTTCCTTATACCACAACTTGTTCAAGCTGTGAGATATGACACAGTAAGTTTTATACAGTATTTTGTATTTAGTGTTAAATGTTTATGTAATAAAATAATGAAATTATAATCTAGTTTGGTAAATTGAAACCTTTAATGTTACTAAGAATCTGTCTTGTTAAAGTTTAATGTTGTCCCAAAACAACTCAGTATAAAGGCCGTATGATGAATTGGAATTCTTATCTGATCTACTTTTGACTTAGCTTTGCTTAAATATTTTTGTAAACTTGATATTACTGTATATGATATGCATAGTTATAATTGTGTCATATAAATCATATTATGTCAGTAAGGAAGATCTTATGTTATAAATAGAATATAATATGTACTGTACCAGAAAAAAGCATTAATTGAAATGGCAAGAATAATCTTTGAAATTATCTGTTTGATGTCACAAGATAGATAAATGAATGAATATTGTTCAATGAGATGTTTCAAATTTAAGAATAGTTGCTGCAGCATTCAAATTGAAATAAAGTATCTGTAAATCAGAAAATATTGAACAGTACAGTCACTATTTGGTCACATATTTAAACCACAAACATCAAATTTTCTATGCAAGAGTGTTATAAAGCAGAAACAAAATAAAACTAACTTCCTAATGTCTCAATATACATAACTGAGTGATTGATGTGGTAAAGAGAGTCACTCTAGCGAATACAACTCCACTTTGGAATCACAGAAATTCTCATGAGTGATTTAATCAAATATATTCAGTTTATCCCTTACCATCTGGCCAAAATCATCACGATCAGATTGTAAAAATGTTGTCAGATTGAATGTATTAATTAACGTAGACTATTTAATTATGAGAAGATCAACTTTTGTATGCTTAGATTGAGAAAAACAGTTCAAACACTGTAGTAAATTAAAGTAATTATTATGGAATTTATTAACCTAAGAGTTGATTCTCATTTATATTAGACTATGAGGAAAAATTTTGTAAGTTAACATTCAAAAATAATTGCAGGTTACACAGAGAGATGTAGAAAATCAATTTATTTTTAATTAAATCATTTAGCAGCTAAACTAATAATTATTTTATTATATTAATTATGACATAACAAATTGCAGATGGGTTATGTAACTGAATTTATTAAAACTGCAACCAGTAAATCTCAATTATTAGCACATCAACTCATTTGGAATATGAAAACTAACATGTATCTTGACGAAGACGGACATCAGCAAGATCGTAAGTTAGTTTTTTTTTTCTAAACTTAGTAAATTGAAGGATTAAACACTAAGTATTTAAAACCACAATATATTTCAACAGATGATCTTTATGATCCACTTGATCATATCATGAATACTATCATTGGATCTTTATCAGGACCAGCTAAACAATTCTATGAAAGAGAATTTGACTTTTTCACTAAAATTACAGCTGTTTCGGGTCAGATCAGGTAATAAAAGCATAGTTCTAATTTAATAATTTGTGTGGCAAGTCTCGTCTAAATTTAATGTTTGTATTATTAGACCTTTCCCTAAAGGACCGGAACGAAAAAAAGCTTGCCTCGACTGTTTGAGTAAAATTAAAGTCCAACCAGGTTGTTATTTACCTTCAAATCCTGAAGCTCTTGTGATAGATATCGATTACACATCTGGCATTCCTCTGCAGAGGTATTTTATTTTATTGTTCTTTAAATTTAACAAGAGGTAGGATAAAGAATATTAAATAAATAATTCTGTTTTTAGTGCTGCCAAGGCACCTTTCTTAGCGAAATTTAAAGTTAGACATTGCGGAATACAAGAATTAGAAAATCAAGTACTTGCCGCAGTACAGACAGGAAAGCCAAAGATTTCGGATTCAATAGGGATGGAGTATGAGCAAGCAGCGATTTTTAAAGTCGGAGACGATGTGAGACAGGTTTGTATATTCGATACTTAAACTTTAATTATAGGATAAATTAAAACTTTAATTATAGGTCGTTTAATCCGAAATCATTAATTTTTACAGGATATGCTTGCTTTACAAGTAATAGCATTGTTTCAAAATATATTTAAACAAGTTGGACTGGATTTATTTTTGTTTCCGTATAGAGTTGTTGCCACTGCACCTGGTGTACGTACAGAAATTTATAACTGAAAAGTCTAGTTTTAGCTTGTTTATATTATTTATAATTAGCTTGTTTATATTATTTATTTAGTGTGGAGTTATTGAATGCGTACCAAATGCGAAATCAAGAGACCAGTTGGGTCGTCAGACCGATATTGGAATGTATGAATACTTTATTACCAAGTACGGAGATGAAACAACTAAGAAATTCCAGATTGTAAGATTCAAACGTTTTAAACGGGATATAATAAATTTTGTATGATAAAATATTAAAATTTAGATAAATAATTTATGAATTCTCACATTAAAGGCAAGAAGAAATTTTATTAAAAGTATGGCTGCGTACAGCGTGATAGGGTTTCTTCTACAAATAAAGGACAGACACAACGGAAATATTATGCTCGATACAGATGGTCACATTATTCATATAGGTGAGAGAAAATTGATGAAAATTTTATCAGTTATTTATTAAATCTTCCTAATTTTATTATTAACTCTTCATAAAATATTTATAAATATCTTTTGTAAAGATTTTGGCTTCATGTTTGAGAGTTCACCTGGCGGCAACCTAGGATTCGAACCAGATATCAAACTGACTGATGAAATGGTGATGATCATGGGAGGAAAGATGGATGCTCCACCATTCCGATGGTTTAAAGAACTCTGCGTCCAAGCATATTTAGCTGTAAGGTACGTAAAATATCATTGTATTTAAAGTTAGGGAAGTGACATCCAATAACGACATTTAATTATTATATCAATTTCTATTCAGGCCACACAGAGAAACTATAATATCTTTGGTTACTCTCATGCTGGATACCGGTTTACCATGTTTTAGAGGCCAGACTATTAAGTTGTTACGAACACGAATGGCTCCGAATGCCACCGAGAAGGAAGCCGCAGCATATATGATCAAAATAATCCACGATTCCACTCTTAACTTCCGTACACGTACTTACGACATGATTCAGTATTATCAAAACCAAATTCCATACTAAACAAAACACAACTGTAGACAATTTTTGCAAGATTATATATATATGTGAATAATTGTAATTTATTAACTGATATACATAAAATATATATACATATTTAAAGTTTATGTACAAATGAAGAAAATATATATACTGTAAATTGTATTATAAAATTAATCTAATTATTTAGAAAGGGAAAAAAAGATAAGGTTTAAAATAAAATTTCTCTAATAATAATATTCAATGTCATATTTGATTTTATTTGAATTTTAACCAATTTTATTGTATTATTTATAATTGGGGTATGCTAGAAAATAATTTTGATTCTAATTTAACATTATACTGCATATAATTTGTTTACAGGCATAGTTGTGAACCTGGATCAAGATCAGAATTGTGTCAATTAACTATTTAATTATGAAAGATAGGCCAAAAGTTTTTTAACCAACATATATATTAAGATTTAGATCACTTTCAGGCACACCACTGAGTCATATCCATTCGACTTCCCATTGAAATCCTTGTATTCTGAAGGTAAGTTTTCACACTTATGTTAGCGATACACATATGTGGCCGAGAGATACAGATCCCCTCCACCAAGTAACCTAGAGCTTTTCGTATGGATCATTTTTGAGTGGTTTGTCCGAGATGCTGGTACTTATGATCGAGTGGTGCCACTCAGTTGCACAAATGAGTATTCCTTATGAAATTGGGTCTAGGAATGCTTCACTGGAAGAAACTAAATCACTGATATACTTTTTTTTTCATTCAAATTTAATAATGAAATATTTACAAAGTACTGCAGAGCTGGACAGTACTTCAAATAAAAATTATTTTAATTTCTATTTAAATACTTTGGGATTGATATTTTAATTGAAGTACTTTTATTTACAAATAACTTATTTTAAGGTTTTGGATTTTACGCTGTCAAATGGAATAAGGATCATGTTGAGCAGGAGAATGTTAAGAGGCTCTCAAGGCCAGTGAGGCCCCAAGCCCCAACCAATGAGACTTTATTAGAAACCTTTTACTTCCCAACAAGTAAGTAAACATAAGCTGCAGTTTGTTATCAATGTAACTAAAGAATCAGCAAGTGTTCTAACTTATGTTCTATCAAAAATATACAAAACTCTAAATGTGATTATAATAATCATAAAATTAATAAAACAAAAATGTTTAATTGTTTACATATCTTATTGTAAACTTAAAATTCAGAACATGAGAAGATCCTAAGAATCAAGAGCCTCTTGTTTCTTAGGATCTTCTCATGTTCTGAAATAAAAGGAAAAAATTAAGAAAACATTGAATCAGTTGTTTCCGCATCAATGAAAATCACACACACTTTCAGGAAACAGTCCTGACATAAGACTTGTTACTGTAGCTGTGGCAGCAAATTCAGATTTGCAAATGGCTGAAAATCATATCATGTTGCCCCTGCTCCTAAATCCTGTGCTTTCAGAAGCTGATGAGTAACAAGTTAAGCTGAAGAGCCAGCAATTAGAGTGGCAGCCTACCTTACTTTGGGGAACTGGAATCAAATCTGGATGGGCCAAAAACCCCATGAATTTTTCAGGTGGTGGTCCTACTCTTGCCACCCATCACTTCATTTTTGGCTTGACCAAATCCATAATGGGATTACTAAAAGGCCTTCTTTAGAGTTTAAAAATAAGTTAGGTAATCCTGATCAGCAGTAATGTAATGTTTTATTTTCTTGTCATTCTGAGCATAGTTTGCTGCGACAATTTAGAATAACTTGAGATGCATGGTACAACGGTCCTTGGTCCTTGTCAATCGGAAGGGCCATTTGATTGCAATGCAGGGGCGGATCTACATAGGAACTAATAGTCCTTAATAGAACTTAAGCCCTGGATCCCTAAGTGTCAAGGGCTCACAAAAATTGAATTATCATAAATTTTTAATACTTTTTCATTAACAATGAGCACTTATCGTATAGTAAAAATAGTTACTATAAATTATCATTATTATTTTATTATTATTATTTGTATTAACAAAAAATGGGCCCCATTGGACTTCAGTAAGCCCTAGGCTACGAAATACCTAGAGCAGTTCCTGGTGCAATGTGACACAAACAGATCGCATTTTAATGATTCTCCGTATGCCTCTATTCAACTGCTACATGAAAATCAAAAGAAATGGCTCTGTACCTAACCTACATCAATAGCAGTATAGCTTCTTATCTGCGGATCTCATCGATCATTATTTTAAATTGGGATTGGCTAATGATGGTAGGGGTTTGAGCAAATACTATGGACAAAAAAATCAAGAAGCAAGAGATATCTAGCATCCACATTGCTGCAATGGGTATCCATTACTAATGGGAGAAAAACTAGACAATGACAGAGTGAATTATTGGAGAGAAACTTTGAAAAGTGTGGCTACAATTAATTCAAGATCTTGCGGACGGCAAAATGACATCTTTTTGACATTATGTCCACCCTATGGGAGAGTTCAAAATCATCTGTTGCTGCCGGAAAGTTGTAAACGTCTTTTTCTGTGCTCAACGCGCCAGAAAACAAGATAGCAGCCAGCACAAGACTCGTAAGAGCTTTTTGCATTGACAGTTTTGAAGTTAATTTATCTTTTAATGAATGGATTAAGATCAGGTTAGTACATTAGTGGATGGACGTAAATATACTGGTATATTTTACCACATGGAGGCCTGATGGTCGAAGCATTACGACGTTATCCTCTGCTCTGGAGGATCCGGATGGTTGATAAACCCCAAGAATTTTTTGGGAATGGGTCTGTCTCGAATATGTCGGACCTCGTCCCTCATCACCTTTATTCCAAACCCGGTTTTGGGCTTGAAATAAAAGTTTTTCTTAGTGTTCACAGAACGGAGAGTTTTAAAAAAGGTGTTTGTTAATGGCTGTTTCTTTCCATAAACATAGCATTCCCTGGGCTACAATTTCTAGATGAAGATTTATCAATAGCCACCCATTATCTATTGCAGCGGTTCCCAAGGTGTGCACTGCGGCTTCCTTACAGGGGCGCCACGAAATGGTATAAAATTTTTATGTTAGAATTTAAATTCATGCACTTGTTAGAATTTGACATATGGCGCCTTTGAAAAATCTGCATTTGGGCAAAGGCGCCTAGAATCAAAAAAGTTTGGGAACCACTGATCTATGGTAAATAATAACATAGTTTTCCGTGAAATTCGAAAATAAGAATTTATCTACAGCAGCAATGGCAAAGTCGTATGGAGTTGAGTGTGGGTGTCTGGTGAAAAAGAAAGGAAAAGCATGAAAGTTTTTCAATGAATTACCTACAGATTCAGGTTAGAAGACTCCAAAAAACTCATTTACAATAGACTCCCCTACAAAACGGGTTCATATTATACGGATTCGTATATAACGGCGAAAAAATTGCGATCGTATTCGTATAAACGTGCTAAAAGAGACTCGTATGATACGGTAAAACGTCATCGGCGACTCGTGTCGCGACAGAATTGGTCGAATCTAGACCAATAGCGGATATTGCACAAACCGAGTAGCGGACCTACTAAAAACCATTTATTACTTAACGGCCAAAAAAATTATATTTATATTAATGATGTCTCTAAAGTTCAGCAAATTTTTCGCAGAGAAATAATTTATCGGGAAACACGCACCTGCCGTTCGATGCGCCGCTCCGCGACGAAAACAAGCTTAAGCAATAGCGTCGTAGAACGATGCACACTCGGTAAGTAATCCTACAATTTTTTTTGTTTATAGCATAGTTTATATGATTATTCCCAAAAAAATATACGTGTTTTGGAAATGTTCAGTGAAATTAGTCTAGAATCGATTAATTTTATGGAAGAAATCCTTTCAAACATTCGTAGTCCGTAAAATGCATACGTGCCTGTAGTGTTTCGATCCCGGGATCCCGTTTTCCCGGGATTCTCGCCGTTTATTCCCTACGAGAAAAATCCCGGGAAATTTTATTTTCCCGGGAAATCTCGCATTTCAATAATAATTTACCATGTCAGGTTTTCTTTCTATTATTTATTATAAGAAAAGTTGCATCTTGAAGACTCACCTAAAAGAGAAATTTTGAGGTTTCTTGCTGCATATTATTACCTATGCTTTACAAGTCTCTACTTGTTAGTTCATCTATATATATAAAATTGCTTGTCCTGACTGACTGAATGACTCACTGATTCATCATTGCCCAGAGCAAACCGCTGGACCTACAGAGGTGAAATTTGGTACACAGTTAGGGTACGTCATGAAAACGCACACTAAGAAGGGATTTCTAGAAATTCCCCCGCGGGGGGAGAGGGAGAGCATTAAGGGTTAACCGGAAAAACGGCTTCTACTGTACTATTTTAGATGCGATTTTTTGTTTTCAACTACGTTTAGTCTTCATTGAGTACTTAGGTGTATTAATTTGATAACATTTCAGACATTGCTATAAATATTTTTATCTATTTCGATTTTAAAAATGTTTGAACCGTTTTAAATTCGAATTTGTTATTGTATATTGGTTCGATTATAGAACGATTGTAAACGCTCCAGAAAATTGATCAAATTGAAAATAGTTCGTTTGATTCGCGGTAATTCTCTTCAGCGGTAGGTGTTATATAGAACTAACAATTACTATGATTATTGAAATATTGAATGTAAATGGGGTTTGCTTTCAAAACCTCCGCGGACGAAGTCGCGGNAACGCTCCAGAAAATTGATCAAATTGAAAATAGTTCGTTTGATTCGCGGTAATTCTCTTCAGCGGTAGGTGTTATATAGAACTAACAATTACTATGATTATTGAAATATTGAATGTAAATGGGGTTTGCTTTCAAAACCTCCGCGGACGAAGTCGCGGGTAACACCTAGTGTAATATCTATGTATTGTGTTTGCGCATCATTGAGCAGTGGAGACTTGCTGAAAGTAAATATCACTCATCGCACTTTATTTTTTATTTCATCTTTAGAAATAAATTAGTATTTTTTTTTCGTAATCATTAAAACTCCCAATGAAACGTTTTATTTTACTTTCATCTTATAATGTAGGAGAACATAAATTAATTGAGCCTAACGTGTCCGTATGGATGAGATTGGCCCTACACTTTTAGTTAGTTACTAGAAAATAAATTAAATTATTCGAATTTATGATATTCCTGTATGTTCTATTTTACTATCTCATC